TCTACATTTTGCTTGCTGTCCTATACCCTTAAGTCTGTTGCAACCTATGAATCTGTTCTTATTTAGGACTAGTTATAGAGATAAAATAAAAGGAGGCTGCTATACTGATGTGAATATAAGATTTTGATATGAAAGAAAGTGCTTTTTTAAACGAATATATCCATAATAATTTCTTTAAGGTTTAAAGGAAAAACTATAAAAACCTAGGCACAGCATTGCATGCATTAATGCAGGATTGTCTGACATCTCTGTGGCCAGGGGCCACATATCGCAAAGGTATGTGCTGCAGGGGCGGCATCAGTGGCAACACACAACCCTCTGGGATTCCCCCTGGGATTGACAGTGCCATGCCAGCACACAGGTCCAGTGCTAGACAAGCGGCGTAGCGCACGGCTCCCTGCAGGTCTCCCCTCCCACACTACACAGCAGTGGAAGAGTGGCTAAAAAGGCCTGTTGGTCTGAATGCTGGCCCCTTGTGGGCTGCATGCAGCCCACGGGCCACCAGTTGGACAACTCTGATATAATGCATAAACATATAGTGTATGGTAAATTTAAGATATAGCATTGAATTTGATAGGCTCTTGACTTAAACAATGCAAATTTTCTAGTCTACTGCTACGTCATAGCAAGGTTTAGGCAGAATATCACTTTTTCTGTTCAGGTTTGTAAGAACTACTTATAGTTCATTTTGAATTACTATTTCTGGATCACCTAAAACTAAACTGCATGGTGAAATCAAATAGACTGTTACGTTGTGACAGCTTAGCAGATCTTACTCACTAAAGTTATAAAATTGTTAGTAAACTAAGCAGCAGCTTAGCTGTGCTAATTTCTCATTCATGGTAATACTAATTCAGTCCACTTGATGGTGATAGCTAAGGATGTCATATGCAGAACCTACTTGGCTAATTTGGGTTTTTTTCTTACTGTTTAGGAAAGTGAAGAAAGGTTCCTTGTTAATAGATTCCAGTACTATTGATCCCGCAGTTTCAAAGGAACTGGCTAAAGCAGTTGAAAAAATGGGAGCTGTTTTCATGGATGCCCCTGTTTCTGGAGGTAAAGCTCTGCTAAATCTATAATATTATATGAAACCTCTCCGCTGGTGTGTCCTACCAACTTACCTAGCTGTCTCTTGTCACTGATGGATAAGCAACACTATCCTATTGTGGCAGAATGCCATCTCTGTCTCTTCCCAAACTCTGCTATCAGGCAGATGCCTAATCTGACAACTTGGTTACTATGGTCATTGCAGAGGGCAGACCCCCCTGGTCCCATTGGCTTCAAGTAACCCTGAGTTGTAACCTGAGCTGGATAAATTTTGGAGGGACAGGGAAACCTGCTCCCTCTGCCTACATGACTGGCCTCACACACCTGAGTCAGGGCTTAAACCCCCTATTGTTCTAAGCAATGTCATCATGACTGGGAAGGGGCTAGAGACCCTGCCAGTCTACCTGGCAACCAGTGATGCATTTCAAATTGGTTGGCTGGCATCCAACAGCTGCTGGCCTTTATTGGATCAATTGGGTAAATGAAGTCATAAGGCCTGTATAGGTTAAGGACTGCCCAGGAGGCAGAGCAGCATCTGTGATGGGAGCTCTTGGAGAAGCTGAACCATCTGAAACTCACTCTCTTGAAACTCATGTTCAGTGAACTGCTTGCCTCCCAACGGAATCTCCACCTGCCTCTGGATGGTACTTGTGAGTAAGCTACTTGAGATCTAACTAGATATGTAGCTTGCAGTAACTCAGATGCGTGATCAAAGGCTACCATGTCATTGTTTGCTCTAAGGTATTTCTCTAATATTGCTCTACCCTGCACCCTATTCCAAACCTACTCCTTGTAACCAATAAAGTTTTCCTCTGTATCTAGCATGGGAGACTTACTGGGAGGGGGTCTAGATTATGCCTTGGGGTCCCCTTGGTTCAGCTGCCTAAAGGAGATCACTGTTGGTGCTCTAGACTGAGGGGAAGCACCCCAAGTTCTTGCAGTGGGTTGAGTACCTCTCAAGGGCTACTAGGCCTGTGTTTCCCAGGGGGCACAAGGCCAAGAATAATCCAGACCCTGGGTGGTGGCGGCATTACCTCCAGGCTTGCAGGTGTGCTCCAGGAAGGGGGGCAGCAGGATGTGAGGTGCCCCCAGGGAGTCACTCAGAGCCTGGA